TTCTCTTTTTCTGACAGGGTCTCACTATGTAGCCAAGGCTAGCCTTATGCTTGAAGTTCTCCCGTTTCTTCCTTTCAAGTGCTTGGGTTGTAGGTTTGCACCGCCAGGCCCAGCTTCATTCTGAGATTTCTCAGAGCATCTTAATTACGTGGCCTTTGGAGGAGTTGGCTCAGCTCCTGGGCGCTGACTTTCCTGAGTAGGCTTCGGATCTCAGCTCCTAGAGGACAGAACCCTAGCTGCACCACTGACTTGTGCCTGGCTCAGCCCAGGTATCCAGTAGATACCTGATAGCTGAAGAATTTGAGTGAAGTGCTATTTATCCAAGCAGCAGTCCACCCAGAAGCCAGAATCACAGCATTTTGATGCAGCCACCAGCTTCTGAGTCTCCCTTTAATAGTCCAAACTGCTTCCCCAGCCTCATTGCTGAAGATGTGTGAGGGACAGTAACATCAAAAGACAGGAAAGGTGCCTGAAGTTGGAGTCAGGACTCATTCTAGATTGAAGCCAGGCAGTTGGGCAGGGACTGTCCCTCTGCCTGTGACCCAGTGGGTCTTCCTGGTACTCCTGACCCTTCTGGGGAGCTACTTTATCTGCAAGGTGGTCGTGAGAGGTGATAGTGTAAGGGACAGGCTTTCAGCCATCTCTGACTCTGGACTACTGACGGTAGTTGAAGCTTTAGCAAGCTTGGGATTTCTACAACTAGAGTCAAAGACAAGAGGAAACTTCTGTTAGAGAGCTAAAGTAGACCCCTGGTAGGACTTTCTAATTACTAAGGTGTCCAAAGAGAAAAAGGAGTATTAGATTAGCCATGGCCTTCCAGTTCTTCTTCCCACTCAAGTTAGGATAAAGCCACCTCTCTTCAAAGCAGCAGCGATGTTCTCGAGGATGGCAAGAGTAGTTGCTGACATCTATTATGTGGTCAGTACTTGCTTCTTGAGTCTGAACCTGACCCCAGGAGAGGAGAAGGAGGCTTCTCAAAGAACACAGCCTCTGAGTGCACCATGTGAGCTCCTAAGACCATTCTGGCTGATGGATTTTCCTGATTCCTGCCCCACCCCTTGGACAGCCAGTCTATCCTGCAAATAGCCCTGCTGATACTGACTTCAAAAACAAAGTAATTAGCCAAAACTCCCTTGGGAAACATCAAAAAACAAAGTGCAGAGAGATTGTCTCATTTCTCAGATTGCATGACTTCTCCATATTGGGAACCAGATTGTCTCTGGGACCACTGAGCCCTGGACATGCACTATGGTGCCCAGGCAGATGAGAGAAAGCAAAAGCCCAGCATTTTGTCTACAAGTGTCTGGATGCTATATGGCCATGGTTATTTTCTCCCTTTCCCCGTTCTTTGCTTATGAAAGTTAAAGCACGGATTCCTCATCCCCACCAAGGGCAAAATATAGAATAGACCTGTACCCCAGCAACGAGGCTTTAAAATTGAAGAAGTTCCAGATGTGGATGGGGGTAAAAGCTGAGATGGTTCAGAGGGCAAGCTCAGATTTTTCATGTCTTTTTCAAGACGAGAGAGGCTGACCAAGCCATCTATCAAGTACAGGTGCATCATGAACAATTTGGAAGACTACATCCGTACCTGAGAGAAGAGCAGTTGTTTCCTGGGATATCTGGGTGGTAGGTGTTGTTATGACAGGCCACAGACTCAGGATGAAGGCTGGTGAAGGCAAAGACTGAGGGCAGCAGGAGAAAGAAAAGAAGCCCAGGAAGAGTGAGAAAGAAAAGTCTCAGGTGACTTCAGCCTGGAGCATGGGTTCTGTTCTCCGTGGGGAGGTATGCCTTGTGCTGGAATTGTCCCCAAAGGAGCCATGTGATTGGCTACAGAGAACTCATATATTCATTTTGCATAATGTTCACCTAATGCCAGACACATGCAATGTCCCAGCTCCTACTTCTTCCCTTCCTCTATCAACCCCTTTCCCTCTCCCTTCCTCAGTTCTTCTTCCCTGTACCCTTCTATGTTGTTCCTCCTCATGATACAGCATAAGCCCGGCTCCTGCACAGCCCTGTGCTTTCCCCCATCTTCTCTCCCTTTTTAATTTAGTTTATCTTTCAAACCTAGGATCTGTAAAAGGGAACAACAGGTATGTTTCAGAATCATGTGAAGGAATAGTTGAAATCAGCCCAAAGCCCTGTCCTCACAGTTGGGACCCAGCTCGCTATGTCTCTTCTTGCCCCTGTTCCTTCCCACTTCCTGCTTTTTACACTACCCCAGGAAAGCTTTGCAGCTCCGAGCTCTTCACTGGTGGATTCTTCGGACAAGTCTCTTCATTTCCACGTTCTCAGTCATGTGTCTGGAGTCCATTTTGAATGAAGGAAAGGGGAGGGCAGCAGGGTTGGCTGTGGTGACATTCCTTCCTGGTACACCTCAGCCTTCTCTCACTGAAGGCTTCTCTCCTTCATCTTCCTAAGCACAGAGCACACGCAGCCTAAAGATGCCCTCTGTCCTGATTCCTCGTCTGTCCTTCTTCAGCCTCACATCAGTCTGATCCTTGAAGCCAGGGCCCTAAATTCCTGCCTCTCTCAGCCCACCTGATGAGGAGACCTGCACCAGCTTGCCCAAGATGCTTGGCCACTGCTGAGTACCTCTTACTTCTTTGCTCAAGCAGTGCCCTGGCTGCAAGTCAAGCATTACCTTTGGAGTCTATGCTTGGGGATGTACAATGAAATGAAGACTGCCATGTTTTTCATTTAGATCCTAAGGTGTCACCTTGGTGATATGTTCCTCCCATCTCTCCGTTCCTTTTGGTCACCTGATTTTTGTCTCGGGCTATGAAGCAAAGGTGAAGGGTTGTCATATACAATGCTTCCTCATAATAAGAAGTACTAACTAACAGTTGGGGTAGCAGGTACTTTATGCCGTGACCTGCTGTGAGCATGCTGTGTACATATTCTCAGTCTCTATAACAGCTATACATATCTCACATGTGGAGAGAGGGTCCAGCCTGACCACACAGCTCCCAAATCTTTTCTCCATAAGTTATAAGAAGGGACATGTGTGAATGACAAAGAGTAGTGACCCTTAATGCTGTCCAAGTTCGGGGTGAAAGCAGATGTAAATTAGTAAGTGGGGTTTGATGGAACTTCCTATTTCAAAGAATAAACAGCTTGCACCATCTTACAAATGGGAAAGATGTCAGCTACCAACTGGTAGCTTTCTTGGGGTCTTCAGAAAACAGATGCCATTCTTTTTCCTTTCTTTCTTCTTTTTTTTAAAGTTTTTATTGAGTCTTTGTGGGTTTCACATCATGTACCCCAGTCCCTCTCGTCTTCCTGTCCTCTTATATCTGGCCTTTGCCCTTGCAACCTCCCCCGCCAAAATAACACACACACACCACCACCACCACCACCACCACCACCACCACCAACAACAACAACAATAACACCACCACCACCAAAGCATACAAAACATCTCATCGTGGAAGCCGTGGTATACCACGGTGTGTCCCCAGTCTATCCCTCTGTCCCCACATCTTCACTTGCAAATGTTCACCCCAATGAGTCACTGGTCTGGTTTGAGATCTCTGGTTTCTGTGACAACATTAATATTGGATCTTCATCAGGACTCTTCCTGCTTATCCTGTTGTTGCCCTGTGTCATGGAGATCATGCAACTTTGGAAGAGCAGGATTGACCCTTTCCTGCATTCAAACATGTAGAGATGATACAGGTTTTGGGATTGGCCGATTCAGAGCCCTGGATCTGGGCCTGGGTCATAGCTGAGCTAGTCAGCCCACTGGCTCTCCCTGACGTGCACCACCAGGATAAGTTCTATGTCTGCTCTGACTAGGCCACCCAGAGCCACCGTAGACAGGAGGCGGGAGCAGTTCCCCTGCTCTCATGCCCTTGGAGATGGCTCACCGACACCCATGCCTCCTGAGCTAGCTCCATTTTGCTGCCCAGTCAAGATGTAGAGCACACTCTCCTAAGTGTTGCACCCTGTGAGGGGCTGGGCCAGCTTTCCCACTCTCCCACCCTTGGAACTGGCTTACCTGTGCCTTTGCCATCAGGGCCAGCTCAACTGTGTTTCCCAGATGAAGTGCAGAGCCTGCAAGAGGCACAGCCAGCTCCTCTGCTCTTATGACCTCAGGGCCAGTTTTCCAGACTGCCTCAGGTGGCGAGGGGTGAGGACAGCATCCCCCTTCCTGTACCCATACCACCTCACAGCCAGTTCAGCTTTCCTGTGCTCTCACCTTCAGGGGTTGACTCATCCGTGGCCCTGGACCAGGGCCAGCCCTACAGTGCTGCCCAGGCAAGATGCTGGCCACAGTCTTCTGAGTGCTGCAGCCAGCGAGAGGAGGGCTAGCTCACCTGTTCTCATGACCCCAGTGTCAGCTCCAGGGTTCTCCAGCACTCTCATGCTCTGGGCTAGCTCATCTGTACCCCATCACAAGGGTCAGCTCTACTGTGCTACCCAGACAAGGTGCAGGGCCTGCTTTTCTGAGTGATGTCTCTGGTGAAAAATAGGGCCAGCTCTCCAGAGCATGGCATCCAGTGAGGGCTGGGACCAGTTCTGCACAGCCCCTGGATATCAATGTGGATCCCCAACAGCTACTCCAACTAGGGATATCCCCGTGTATTCTAATGGTATTACGACACCAACCCCTGCCACTGTGTAGCCATGGACTCAGACATGGCCCTCAGCAGCAGCTCAGGCTGGGACCACATCATGGCCCCAGGTGGCGGGGCTGGGCACTCACGGCAGGCTGTTCCTCTCCACACTGGAGTCTCCAGTTCCATCTCTCTTCAGACTGCTCAGACTGCTCCCCTTCTCTCTCCCATCTGACCACACATTGTGGTGGCTCCAGCTGTAGGCTGGTCACATGGCAGGCAGGACCCTGCGTGACATCCTTCATCCATACTTCGTGATGTGCCGGCAAGTGGGTGTCTATGGCATGTGCCGGAGGACATGTCTTCACGTGGTGTGGTCCACAGGTTTCTGTCTCTCTTCCTCCTCTAGCTCTGCGCTGCCTGAATTTGATTTGATTTTTATGTGTCCTAGGTGTAAGACAGCTTTGGCCACCAAGCCAGGCACCAAGCTAGGATGAGCAAAGGACTGCCACCTGCTCTGCCCCTGGACTGATATAAGAATGCCACCACCAACAAAGGTGTCTCTTTGCCCATTGTCAGGGCAGAGGTGTCATTCTTCACGGAGGAGATGTGGCAGTGATATGGAAGTAGTATGGGATGGGGGAGGGTTAGGCAAATATTGGTGTTGTGCAAAAGGCACTTTCCTGAGTTTGGTGAGATTTCTTTCTGGGCAAGACCCTGTACTAGGCATGGAAAGAGTGTGAAGTTCACTTCTTTAGCCTTTCCAGGTTCAGAGGGCCACCATGCCTCCTGGTTTGGGCAGAGAGAAGGCAGATGAGGAAGATGTACTTTCCTACTCTAGTTTCCTCTCTAACTCCTGCCATGTTGAGGTCCTGCTCTCAAGTCAGGCTTTCTCAAGTCCAAGAATCCTTGTCTCTAGTTTAGTCAGCCCTACAACTTCTTTCTAGACTTCCAATCCACTGGGCACCAATAGACGTGTGCTCTTCTTCAGCAGGCCTGGGAGGGGTTCTTCTCACTGTGAGACTGTCTGAACCTTGTCCGGTAAGTCTTGTCTGGGTGAGTCCTAGGGGTCTGATCTGCGCTGGGACCATAAGTTTAGAGCACAGCCAATAACTTGCTAAGTCGTTGACTTGCTTATTCTCCAAGTAGTGATTAACAGTCTCACATGTGAGGAGCTGGTGCCAGAGCCCAGGGATATGGAGATCAAAGAGCTCTGTCTGTTTCTGTTCTCAAGGGCCCAGTGTCTAATGGAAGAGACAGACAACTTCAGAACATGTTGCACCGTTTCCCTAGATTCACCATGGCTTAGGGGGACAACCCAGAAAATCTGTCCCTTGATCAGGGCCCCTTACCAATCCCATATGGCTAGCCTTGTCATCCATCATACCAATTAATTAATTAATTGCATTTTATTTTATATTCTGGGAGTTTGGGTGTTTTGAAGGCAAAAATGCAAATGTATGCAAATCACCACACAAATTTATGCAAAGACAACATGGAAATGTGTCCCTAGATTTTATGAGGGGGGAAAAAAAATCTGAAGTCCTTAGCCAGTCCCTCAGCAGGCTGCCTGTCCCCAGGCCTGTCCTGTCTTCCCATTTGTTTGTGTTCTTAATCTGTGCTGGGCTCCCTGCCTGACCACTACGAGGTCAGTAATGCAGGTGGGCAGGCAGCAGGCTGGCCATCCATTATCCTGAAACCTCTCGGCTCCCCAAGCCAGCAGAAAACTCCTTCTCTCGCAATAATCGGCTTTCATTTGAAACAATCAAGAGATTTCCTACCACTTTCCCTATGGCCAGGTCCTGGAAAACACCCAGAATGCTAAGCTTTGGGTGTGGAGCATGACTTGAGGAAGGGCACTGATGGAGGAAAGGGTCTATGTCTGCTTCTGGTTACCGGAAAATAAATCCAAATCATTTAATTGTCTATCTTCTGTGTGGGCAACTCTGGTTCCCTGGAGAGCTGGTGAGGACGAGGTGGGGGAGTGGAGGTAGGAGACGGAGGAGACAGGCCTGGAAGGTTTGCAGAAACTTCTGGCTTTGCAAGGTAGGCCTGTTGGGCATGTATCACAGTGATAAACAGCCTGTCTCCAGAGTTGGAAAAGGAACGGCATACAAGCTCCATTGAGAGAGGAGGGCTGAGAAGGGTTATGTCCCTTTGCAGAAGGTCATCAAGGTGGTGGGAGCTAGACAAAGCCAGCTCATGGCTTGCCCTGAATGGAGAGGCCAGTGAGAGGCAGGGCTATGGGGTATGGGGATAGGATGGCTGTTTGTTTACGTAACCACTCCTCAACTGGGGAGTCAGTACCTGGCTCTGCATCTAAGTTACGACTTAGGCGCATAAAAACATGGTGCTGTCAGCTTGTCCTGTGTCTCTAGACCCTCCACACAATGTGTACACTGAAAGCTGCCTGAAGGACTGGATTTCAGCCGAGTGGGGAGAACTTCCGGAGGGTGGGCGTGGTGAGCCAGAGACCGGAACAGGTGACTAAGAGAGGATGAGAAATCTTCCCTTGGAGAGTCTGAAACAAATCCGAAAGCCATTTGCTGTGTGGGAGAGATGGTACAGGACTACTGTCTGGAAGCAGAGGGGACAGACTGGATGACTTTCAGAAGTCCAAAGAGACCAGAGCACACGTTCCCCCAAGTAGATACACATACCTCGCCGACGCCCCTGCTAATGTGTGGTTGTGTCCAAAGACACAGGCTTCATTTTCTCATCTCTCTCCTTCTTTCCTCCCAGGAGAGTCTGAAGAGATCAGTAGGTGGAGTCATTCCCCTCTATCGGGAAGCAGAGCTCCGTGTCATTCAGGGACATGTGTCCTCTCCCATCTCTCCATCCTGGGGGCAGCTTCAGGGGCCAACGGCACTAGGGGCAGCCATGTCGCCATTCCAGCCAGAGCCTGGAGCTTAGCCGTCTGGAGGGGCACAGGGCAGAGTGCTGGTGAGCAAGCATGTCAGAGCGGCTCCAGCGTTTCCCTAGAACAATTCAAATTGCTTTTTTTACACCTCACTGCACTATGCCAACCCTGATTCACATTATTTGTGCACTCGCTAAGTGTACATTATCTGATCCGTCACCCTGGAAAATGCTGCAAGGGGAATCCGGGGCTCCTGTCTACTGCTGACTGTGGGTCAGGCTCAGAAGTCTCTGTATAAATGTTTTTGCAAAATCGAAAGGAAGGAATAAACCCAACAGCGTCGACAACAACAGTCTACCATGGTGGTGGGTTGAAGGTGGGAGTTCTCTCGTCTTGCCTCAGAAACTCAGGTTGTCTGGGAAAAGGCAGTTGAACCAGAAATTCCTGGCACCCTCCCTTCATGGTCCCGGTCTCCTTTCTGTGCCACATAAGGGAGGGGAGAGTAAGCTTTTTAACCCAGCTATGCAGATTTTTTCTGACTGATGATGCGGTTTGGAGAGGAACCCTGAAGGAGGAGGAGGAAGAGGAAGTCTCCACACTCTGACCGATCAGCCTCACCAGGAGCAAGGAAAGCTCCCTGGGCTGCTTAGGCCAATGAGCTCTGAAACGTGACCAAAAGTTTTGGAATCTTTTCGTTCTCACTCATCTGAGGGCTTTGCTCAAAGTCACTGATGACTAAGAAAGTTCCGGGCTTTCAACAGTATTAGAAAATGGACATTTTAGGCTTCTGGCCAACAGCAGTCCATGCGTGTCTCCCACTCTTAGGACCCTTATTCGTAGAGCACTCTCTCTGTCTCAGAGGGTCACTGAGAGTTTGGCAGTTTGTCCTGCTGGACATCAGGATCTTCCCTGTACGTAGGAGCTGTGAGGACAGCTAGAGGAAAGCCACTGCCTGGGTTTGGAAGGCGATCCCTCTCTATGGGGAAAGTTTCTGAGTTATCTTCACGTTAAAGACAAATGACCCTCCCTGAAAGAGCCCAGGTGTCCTTACTCCATCAGTTCTGGGTTCAGTCCACAGCGCAATAGTGGAACACATCGGGGTGCCAGAGCCCATCCAGGCAGGGCCTGTGGGATGGAGTGATCAGAAAAAGATTCAGTCCCTGCCCTGGGGTGGCTTATGATCTGGGTGGATTGACAAATAACTATTTCTCCCAGCTGTTCCAGATTTGGCTCCAACCCCAGGGCTCCTGAAGGGCATTTAGCAGTAGTTAAACCCAGAGGTTGACCAGCTGAGTACCACATTTTCTTTCTTTTGGCAGGAGCCGGGCAGTGTCCACATGGGAGCCTACATCTCAATGAAAACAAGAGATCTGATGCATCCCTGACAACTCATTTTCTCAACCTTCATTCTGGGGCGGGGGTGGGGCAACGTCTCGTTCCAGTTGCCATATTGTAGCCTCAACCCCTGATGCACCATCAATTAAAAACGGCAATAATTATGCATGGGAAAAAAGCCACAGATAATAGGCTTCCATTAGATTAAGTAGTTATATGAATAAAAAAAAATAAAACCTATACTTCGGCTAATTAAACCCACTCACCATCTGATTAAGATGTGTTGTGAGACCATAGAAAAGTACCAACCACTAACTGTAAGTAATCCGGCACAGATGGGAATTAATAGTATCCTCCCTGTCTTAGAGATAATGGATCTCCATAGAGGTTAATCAGAATCGTTAATAAGCAACAACAGGACGGACAGTACCAAACAGCTGGTGCCTGATGTTGGGGTCAGGGCAGGCCATGCTCCTGATAAAAATGACTACTCTATTTCACTCTATCTGCTGAGGTGAAAGCCCCAGGAGGCATTGATGTGCTGACCATAAGATCCCAGCAGACTGGAGGCTGTCTCATGATTCTAGACTCTCTAGTCTGGGCTCAAAATGGCTGAAAAGACATCGTGACCCAAGTGAGCCAGGGTGGCATCAGACTCCAGTTGGTTGACTTCGCAGAGCTCTGTGCTTGAGGCAGGCTTAACTCAGAGTCAGTTCTTGGGACTCTGGGAAGGCTTGGCTTATACCCATTAATGACAGCCGCCCTCTCTTGTGGGTGTGGTTTGAGTTGCCACGGGAACCAGTGTTTTATTTGGCAGAGCCATCTGGACATGGCCCCCAAGGGGTTTGGTTGACTTATTTCAAGGCTACTTATTTTGGAGGCTGAGAATCAACATCCCAAATCCTCACACCTAGAAAATGCACCTGGGGGAAATGACTTTGGGGACAAAGATGCCTGTCTTTCCCAGGGAATGACATGGCAGCAGAGAGGGAGGACAGCCTGGGGTCTCTTAGCCAATGTGTGCTGCTTGCTTCTGGCTCTGTCCTTCGGAGCAGCTGTGAGGAGAGCACCAGGGCCCTGCCTTCTAATTACTGCTAATTAGGTAAATGCTGAGAAGTCTCTCCTCTTCCTTCCCTCCCTCCCCAACCCCCCCAGAAGGCAACTGAGTGGCACATGGAGAGGTCAAAAGGAGACGTTTCCTAATGGGGGCAGGCAGAAGTGACATGGCATGCATACCAAGCAGCTGCTGACCAGGGAAAGCAGAGGACACAGGGCATCCAGGCTGGAGGAGAGCAGCTGCCTTCTAGAGAGGCATGGACGGAGGGGAGGGATGCTGAGGGAGGGCTAGGGATCAAGGCGCTTTCCCAGCCTGGGTTTCAGCCTCCTTT